TCCCTACACAAAATTACAATCAAGCGTTCGTCATACTTTTCAGTTAGGAAGCAGTGTCCTACTAAGTCTACCTACTTTCCAGTTTCCTATTTAGAACCTTATCTGAACATTTTTATGATTATATTCAATATCTGAATTAGTAGAATTGTTCATCATAACTATATAAAACTCCTTCATTTGACTGAAACATGCTCTAAAATGCCTTTTGTATTACCAGAAATGAAAGAAATTGTGTGTGCAATACATTACATCTATATTAGTATCACTGTTTCTCTGAATATAAGCACTGCCAAGTGATACTGCATTTGTTGGTATCTCAGATCTGTGATACCAGTCCTTTGTTCTATTTCTCATAAATTAGGTTACAAAGACTGAGAGGTTCTATTCTGACTAGCAAAAGAGAAAAAAAATAAAGGAAAAAAGAGAAAAGGAACCAAAACTCCACACTCAACAACCAAGGACTTGAGACAGAGAGAGTGGCAGTTTTTAGTGAAGACATCTACAAGTATTTGTTTAGGTGTGTGCAGGAGAATGTGTCCACTTGCATTAGCACATGTTTTGACAGCAGGAGTTCTAAGATTATTTCTGCTGGCACCTGAGGATCTCTGCCAATTTTTCATCTGTTCCAGAGCCCGGTTTTGTACTCTGTTCTTTTGCCCAGTACCTACTGAACTTCTCTTTTTAACTGTAAGAAAGAGCTCCCATGTTAACATTAGCCTTAGATGTATTTTACGGTTCTCACTCTTTCGAACTTTCCAAGTACAAGATAACACTATCTTAAGGGCCTTGTCTTCAGGAACTAATCACAAATGTGCAAGAATTGTAACAAATCTGTGTCTTTTGCTCATTTTTCTCTCCTTAGAATTCTGGCCTTCTCTCCTTCTGTCATTACCTCTGTCGAAGTCTCTATAGACAGCACTCACCTGGGCAGTGCCCATCAGGTCTCTGGCCCTCTTTACGTGCTGAAGTGGAGCCCACGGAACTACAGCAAAGGGTTCCATCACATAGATGTGACTGTCCAGGTAAGGTAGTGAATTGGGTTGAATTTCAACGTTGTCACGTCTGCTCCATGACTCTTCTGCATCCCGTAACTAGGGAAAAAATACATGATAGCAGACCTCCCTTAGTATTTGACTGATTTACAAAAAACAAATGATTTCTTAAATTAAAAAACACTGGCTGTGGAGCACTAAAACATACATCAAACATCTGGACAAAAGAAATAATTCTTATTTTTTGTGAGAAATTTACTAAGACGTGATAAAAGAGCAAGTAATCAGTCAAAAATACTTTGAGTAACAGGCAACAAATAACTTTTAAGGTTGTTTTAAAAAAAAAATTCAGTCTTGATCAAGGAAGGTAGGAAGTAGTGTTGTGTTAGTTGAGAAGACAAAGAAAGTGGATCTGGAAGACGGGATGCTGTCTTTGATTATCAGTTGGAAGTTCTTTCCTGATTTCTTGCAGGCTGACAGTGAATACAGGTTCTCTTTTCCAGAACATCAGACTTAACTGATACTAGATTACTGGGTGCAAAAGATGTTTTTCAGTGATCGCTTCAGTCCTTGGTACTCTATTTTATTTTTACCCCTTCAAGTGGTTTGTGAGGAACTCGGACTGTTTTAACAATCCACATGTTGCACCATAGCAAGGGGAAAGGCAGCTCTGCCCTGCCTGGTGGAGCCCAGCGAGGTGTCATTTCTCACAGGACCAGAGTGATACTGCTGGTTTTTTGTAATGGCCTTTCTGTGCTGCCAGTGTTCTGCCTCCCAGCTTGTTACTGATTTCTGTGATGCTTTACTTGGGAAATCTGCATTTTACAAGTGGTTTATTTTTGGTGTGGTTTTTTTTAATGATGATGAAAACGTATGCACAAAACTGAGAAACTTTTGAAGTGGGTTATACAGGCCTGCATAGCAATCATTGTGCTTGCAAATACGTGTTTATTATCAGGTCACTGAATGGGATTTAAAAAAAATAATTTCGTTTCCCCTCCAGTCGTAAATCACTATTACATCTAGTAACTGAATAGTTTTGGGAAAGTAAGGAGGGTGAAGCATTAACTTGATTTAGGTACTTGGAGAAAATTTCAATACTCAGTTGCTGTATGTTGTTTCTGGGATTGTCCAAATACTGTCTGAGCTGTAAATCACACTAAACATACTGAATCCTTTACTATAAATAAACCATTTATTATATACTGGAAGATAAGCTATCAGTGTTACACGTGCACAAATACCAAACTGTTGAATGAATGTTCCACTGTTACTGTTTATCAGTTTTTAGTAAATATACCAAGAAAGAAGCACAATAAATCTTCAAATTATTTTAAGATGGGCAATGATCTAAATTGAGCTTTCAGGAAACAGGTAGTGGTGGTGGCCAGTGAATGGCCACTGCCTTTCACAAGCTGCTGCATCTCTGACAGGATCTCCTTCATACGTAGCACTTTCAGATAATGATCTTACAATCACCAATTTAATTGAAACTACAAAACTTGACCGTATGTAATCCTTTGTAGGTAGAAGCATTTAGTACAGCACTATGCCAGCCACGCATCCGTCAGCTGGATCCTTCCAGAAAAGCTGCAACTTGAACTAGGTATTCTGTACACTACTGATATCTAATGACTCTCTTACTTTATATTGATCTAGGATGCTTCAGGAAGAACTAGCACGCGGGGGCATGTATTTGCTATGGAAGAAAACCTGTCTCTTAGATTTAGCTTTTGGCCATCTCTTATTCTTCTCGCTGACCACTATGTTCTAGTAAGTACTCTGAGCAAAACCGCCATCATTCTGTGGTGGTTTCCCCAAGGACTGCAGGAGGCATTTTCCTAATTCCTGGTAGACTTGAATGCACTTTGGTTTTTTTCAGATAAAACTCCATTGGAATTATCACAAATATTTCTTTTCTTAAGTTGTGTGCCTCAAACGTGAGTGTGCAGCGATGGTTTGTGCAAATAATTGACTTCCTGGGTTTAGTCACAATTGTCCATTCTTGGGTGTAGGTAAACACACATTTTGTGACAGCAAGAAATAGGAAAGAAACGACTGGAGATTGTAGAAAAATTAAACATTAAATTGAGAAAACTTCCCTGTGATCTGTTGCAGTATGTGTACTGGCAAGAATGCTGGAAAAAAGTCTCACATCAGCTGCTGACATTTTAGCTAGCTCTGGCAAAGAGAAGGGCAAAATTCCTGTTGACTTCAGGAAGTTCCAGGTCACATCCAGAGGTGTTAGAGCTCAGCCCCTGCAGAGGAGACATGTTGTAATAGCTTAGGTGCACTTACAGAGCATCATGGGAAAGTCCACACAACTGTAGATGGTATCATAATTGGCTCAAAATTTTTATATTAGTTTTGTTAATCAGTAACAGATACTCTCCACAGTGTCTGAACTGCAGTTCTATTCAGCAGGGTGCTCAGAAAATGTTTTACATCAGAAGGGTGTTGACATTTTTTCAGTGGATGTGTTTTGCAAACCCTAGTTTTAAAAGATTCACGCCCATCAATTTCAGCCTATCCAGCTGAATCCAAGTCAGTAAGATGCAGGTCCAGTAACTTAGAAACTTTTTAAGTGGTTTGTTTTTTTTTTACTCTTCAGTTCAAGGACACCATCAAACTGAGAATATGTTTTTCAGTTCGATATCGTATTGTTCTGTCAACGTCTGTGGGGCAAGCTCAAAAGCAGCCGCTGCTCCAGCCCTGGCTCAGAGCTACAACTGTCTTTTCAGGCTCGTATGCTCTTTGGACTGATGGTGCTGAGTCAGATTGCCTTGCTCGTTGTCTTCCGATACCTGCAAAAGCCAGCCCTCAAAGGTATGAACCCATGTTTGTCTGTGGTTTTTAGAGGACCTCATTTTCCCTAAACTATTTTTACTATTTATCTGTATGCCAAGAATATACAAGTAATTGCACTAATCACCGTATGCATTTTGCGTCGAGTTTGATTGAGTTCTCAGGAGCTGCCATTTTGCGTTTAAGGGGACGCAGAAAACCTCCAATATATCAAATAAAGTAAATTAAAAATTAAAAACCTGGTAAGGTATCTCTGTTCAAACAACAATTCAAATAATTAAAGTCTAAAGTTTTCACTTTAATTTTCTCACAGAGGAATTCAGTGCATAGGGAAAGGAATGTTTTATTTTCTGTTAGTTCTGTCTGTGTGCTTGTTTTACTGCAGCTGGCACAGAATTCTCTGTCAACTGAGTGGAGAAAGAGATTTACTTCTACAAAATCGTATTTTGTTAATCTATGCAAGGACCTTGAGCAGGCTTGGGTCGTTCTAAAAAGAATATTATTAAGGCTAGTTCTGTCACAACTTGCTATTTTGTTGGTGCTAAATCTGGTAAATGAAAATTAATACTGTTAAGCTCAGGGTGTTTATCCTTTAAACAACTGTTGGAACCACACCTTACTAATGAGATTATTCTGGAAGCCACCTCCCTTCCGATTCATGTCAGCGTCTGTCCCTTCCTTTATACTCATAATCACGTAGCATCCTGAGGTAACTACAGCAACTGCTTACGTAGAAGAATAGATTTTCAGTTGCCTTTATGGAAATCGGCAGCTAAAAATGAGAAGAGCTAGCTTTCTGTGATCAGCTACGTCCTGGTAGACCTTGACCAATGTTTTACAAATTAGCAAGCAAATTCTTTAGAGCTGTTGCTTTCCAGAGGTCAAACTTGCCATCAGGGAGTTCACTCTTTGTGAGAAGGGCAGCCTTTAAAAGGTAATTTCTGTGGGTAGGCTCTGTAGATCTCCATCTGTGAATTGTCTGCTTCGGTTAGCAAATGGATATTGTGGGTTTTTTGCTAACACCACACCTGTGTCAGAATGCTGCCATGTTAACGCCTAGCCGTCATTTTATCTGAGTCGCTTTATCAGATCTCACTAAGTAGATTTAATCGAAGAAAATCCCGTTAATCTAGTCCATGCTGACCTGCCTTTTGGGTTTGCACAGTTACTGCTTTGAATCTCTTGCTTTTCATCTAATGTGAACTTTCTCCATGTTTTTCATTCTAGCTAACTTCATTTTCTGGGTGTAGAATGGTCATTCAGTTTTGTTTACATACAGTAAGTGTACTCATTTAGAATGGCAGCTTCTTCTACTGTTTTTAACATAGATGTTCTATTGATCAGTTCCTTAATTATCACAGTAATAGCAGAAATGCATTCCCTTGCACTTGTTCTGTAGGCATACCGACATTATTTTTATATTTCTTATTTAACTTAATGCATAATGTGCAGAGTTGTTTCAGAAAGACCAATATATTTATGTGTCTGTGTTTTGCTACCTGAATCAAGCGTATTTTTCTTGAATGTTATCTCTTTTTAGACAAGCCAGGATTACTTACTCTGACCTCATATTCCCTTCACGTCTTCAGTAAAATGAACACCTTTTATTACTCAATTCTGGTTCTGAATTTATACACCATTCTGGGTAAGTAACCTAGAGCACAGGAGGACAAAAATCAGTGTTTTGAGGTTACATATCAAATCCTGATGAAAAATTAGACTTCTGACATCTTGGAGAAGGAGGAAAATCTACTTAACTTACAAAATCTATGTGGAACTTGAAAAGTTAATGTCCAACAAGACTAAAGGTTTGTTTGTAAGAGCATAACTTAGAAGCCCTAGGATAAATTAAACAAATTACTACTTTGAAAGTGAGTGTGTTTTAATTTAATTTGGTTTTCACTTACTCTTTGAGGAAGATCTGGTTGTGCCTTGGTGTAAAGCGAGTATGTGGAAATGCACATTTCACATGACGTCACTAAGACACCTGGGCTCTGATGCTAACAGCGTTACCTTACTTCTCTGATAATATGTTACAAAAATAGTGACTTTCTTGGCAGCCAGCAGAAGATGCAGAGCACAGCGCAGCCTGCCTGCTTTCACTTCTAAGCTGAGACAAGCTGGAATTGTTTATCACCGTGTCTTTCACGTGTCTTACTGTAATCCTGGGAAAAGGCCAGCATTTGAAATAATCTTTTCACTTGTCACGTAA